GGTCACAAGGTATAAGAGCCCAACAAACCTCTAAACAATTTGAACAATGTGTATGCCTATTTTGAAATGTTAATAATGATATATATGGCTTTTCTGTTACAAGTAGTTCAGCAGCATCTATATTACGACTGGTTATATCATGTCTATCATACTTTTCATTATACTTTACTCCTGCAGCATCAGATGCACTACGAAATTCAACATTATAAGTCTTTATTTCAGGAAGTGAGAATTGACTTGACTCTGTGATTGACATTTTGCTTGTTTTATTAGGTATTTCCATCTTTGAATATTGAGAAAGGATTTTTTTCATTTAATTTTGCACGATAATTATTATCTAATGACATTTCTTTAAACAGACATTCTGTTTCCTTTATAGTATTATTTGTATCAGGATGCTGTAGTGCCACTAAACATTCAAGTTTTCTTACATAAAGCTTAGCAAGTAGTAATTTTAATAACACAACAGATCTATTGGCATAAGCTAAAGCAAGTTCTATGGATGGATTAGGGGCGTAACTTATGGATTCGGTATACAATTTCAATATTTTAACATATATAGAACTGTCTGTTCTAAGTAACATTTTAATATAGAGCTGATTAGCTATTTCTCTTTCTTTTTCAGACTTTTTCGCATCTTTCATTTCGTCGCATATTTCAGGAATTATATCATATTCTAACATACAATTAAGGGTAAATATTATACGTTCTTCATCTGTCTGTAAAGCTTTATATTTAGTAATTATATCTTTCAACTTGTTCGCAGCACTTAGTTTTGCATTTAACGCATCTAATACTTTTTCCATTTCCTTTTATATCTCACGATATAATGCTGCATTAATAACAAGGAGAATGCACTTATTCTTTACTGATTTTTCCGAATCTACCGACTGTACACAAACGAATTTCACTAATATGGCGTACAATCAATGATGCCAGAACACTTACCCCCACTATGACCTACCGCCGTTTCCCACTATACCGTTCTCGTGCTTTCACACAACTGAAGCGGGAACTCTGTCCGTGTGCGAAGCCTGTTCGGCTCTTTCCGCCAATAATCTACGTCACCACGTGACGCTCGAGCAACCTGAGCGCATGAGTAAGAATCAAGAGATTCCCTTTAAATCTCGGTGAGACGCAGTGTTTCGAGTAGATGGGCGTTCGGGACAAAAATCATAACTTCTAAATTAATCAATTTTTGACCTATGTTCTCTAATACTTTTTTGAAGAGAATTCAAATATGCATTGCACTGGCAAAATCGTAGCGGCCGTTTCATTTCAATGCGCATTTTTTGTAAACAAATGCAATTACTTCTATAAAATTACAGAAGTTTAGGCGCTTTTTAATAATCGGCAGTGAGATAGTGTACAGGATGTTTATTTCATAAGCGGGTAATCTGAGTCCGAGTTTTTGTACAATGAAGAATTTTTTTTCACACTTATTTTAT